CATCTCCTACAAATAACTTTATATTTTTCGACATTAGCTCTACTTGTAGACGTTAGCAAGTTGTTTGCATGAAATCCGTGACTGTATAAGACACGTCGAAGTAAAAACGGTTGGCGTAGTACGCATCGTGCCGTGTTGCCGCCACTCCCGATTGTTGCTGTGAGACCTTTCACATTAGAGGACTTCCAAAACCAACACAAATGAATTTGTGCTGACCTCGACATAAAAAAGAATCAAATAGAAATATGTGTTTGACCTCGCATAATTTGTTGAGGCTGTTTTTTGGTCTCAACAAATCGTGGTGTTTGTGTTGCATCATCGCACAAAATTACTTTGATTATTGATACAAATATTAAGAGGTAAACCAACGATTTGGACTTCACGTTCCCACCAACGTTCGTGGATGTCCCGTTTCGACTTCCAAAGAGCCCATATCGAAAGCAAGCGTTGGTGTGCGGCGTCGATTGATCTCTTGCTCGACCACGTCCAAGAGGTATTGCCTTTTGGCTGTGTAAAAGTGCAGTAGCATCGCTAGTACCGCGTGCTTCTTTGGTATGCGAGGAGGGTGACCATTCTTACCAGGTCGTGAGAGCACAACATACTCGTGCTTAAAGTAATGGAAGATGTGATCGAACGCATTAGGTGTTACCGACACAGTCGCTACAAATGACTGAGAAAGTTGGTCATTGTACATGGTGTACCATTGTCTCATCTCCTGGGATTCGACGAGTGCAACTGACTTAATGATGTTTCGCTCTTTCAACTGTCTGAGGATTTGTAGTGCATACATGATTCGACGCAGGCGCTGCCGTCGCGAGGCCACAAGCACCAAAGCGAGCTTCATGTTACTTGAAGCATTTTCGGTGCTCGATGCCATTCAATTTTAACTCATGAAACTGTTGATTCAATTTAGTTTCACCCAATAGAACTAGGGAAAGTTTGCTACTTGCGCAGGTTTTGGTGCCCTAGTATCGAGTGACGTGAGGAAGCAAATTTGATCACAATAATAATATACATCATATGCGGACGAATATAGTCTGTGTCGGCGATTTGTGTAGGTTTTGGAAGTCCTCCATTCCCGTATTGTCATTGGGATACTGTATTGGCAAACGCTAAAATGTGTTATTTATGACGAATCAAAACGTGGTGTCGCTTTGTTGGCAGTTCAAATACATAATGTGCCAAACCAACCCAAAGGCGAAATTCACAATATTAACGATATTAAAAATGTTATTTTCATTTCGCTAAAGCCGAAATAATTGGATACTTTGAATAAGTGTACAATTCGGCTGATCACCGATCGCGCCAAACAATGACATTTTTAAAACAATATTCAAACTCTTAAAATTGATCGGTGGTCGGATGATCGGATAATGCTGTCTGGATGTCATGAAAAATGTCATGTAAAGAAAAGTTGCCATAATGTAAATTTCCACTTTGAATAGTTCTATTAGTAATATTCCCGAGTACTAGTACCTATTAACGTATCACCTTTACCTACTTGGAACAGGCCATAGCAGACGCGGTATTTGTCATTTTCCATTTTCTACCTCGAAGTAAGCACTGGGCTCCGTCGCGGGTTTTGACACTTGTCGCAGGAGGAAAGTTACTTACACCTGCGGGTTTTGGCAGTTCTTGTTAGTACTTTACTCACGACGGCCCACATTCTACAGCCCTGAGAATGCCAGCAACTACTACGCAGTAGTACTAACGCTAACTAAATGATGTAGTAATCGATTGCGATCAGCAACACCTTGGTTATGGCGTGACCTGTTGTGGAATTTGATATTATTGACTAATCCGTGCTCGACGGGAAACCAATGGACACGACATGTTGAGAATGTTGCCAGTGGCAATGGGCGATCTATAGCACTTACAATTGAGCGACGGTTCAAGATCGGGATTGAGCCAATGAAATGCACAGATACTGCGACCATTCTCCGCAAGTATTTCATACCGTTGACTACTTGCTTACAGTCGACGACACCATCAAACAACTCAACGAAATATGTATTGACTTGGAGAGGTATTAACTGCATGTAAATGACAAAGTATGCATCTGCGACAAAGTATGCATCTGCGGCTTTGATTAACAGCATAAACTATACTATTATAGTACTAAGTACTAGTATATACTAGTACGAGATTATTACATTTGATAAACATATGACATGTGAATCACATTTTCGTATGGAACAAAGCCTTGAAAAATATAATCTGGGCGAAAATTGACACGCATTCTGACTTGTATCTCGGCAGTTATTCTGTGTCAACACCATGAACTATTAATATGAGTATTAGTATTCGGGCGTACACCTCCTCTAAAAACAGACCAAAATCCTTCATAATACAATATACTTCCTCTGTTCCAATATACTGCCGACATTTGGGGATGTGATAAATTGCCTCATGATGCTCTGCCTGATGAGCTTATCCGAACAGTAACCAGATATACTGACCTAGTTGAACCTAAATGAGTTCAGCATAATACAGGCGTGCCAGTAAGACCAGGAAACCACTTCACATACAAACACCAAGTAAACGTACTTGTCGTTGAACAGCCTTGTCTGGGAGCGGCACGGCCTTACGGTCTACCTGCCGCTTTTCCCGACAAGAGGAATAGATAGATCATTCGGTGAAGTGAGAGGCTTAGATCCGCGCTCTCGTACGGCCGCGCTTGCGCAGACGGCCTCCCGGGCGCTCGGGGCCTGCTGTAAGGCTTGGCCATTGCCAGTGATGTAAGTCGGAGTAACAATTCATTTGCGGTTCAGGAAAAAAGAAAGACTTCAAAAGGTATTGATTCCAGGACCTCAAGGTTACGAACCCAACGCACTCACCATTAGCTCACCGGTCCATTACGATGTGGCTTCGATTTTTTGCTATCTTTACATGTACTGAGCCTGTGGACGTCGCGTGTATTGTTGCCGACAAGTACGGTACTTGCAAATTGAATGGGTATTGTACTGTGACTGTGATACTGCATGTCTCCGGATGATAAGCACATTCTACGTAGTAGTATCCGGGACAATTGTCTCAATATTACATAAATTGATTCACCTTGTGAGAACTTCAACCTTCAAGCACTAATTTTGTGAATATAATAAAAGTGTACTTAAATATATTGTGGATTCGATACGAATTTCCAGATCCCGTCCAATCGAATCGACGCTATTGGCTAATCCATTTTTGAGTAGATTTCATTGACTCTTGCAGAAAGGACATGTATATTCAACCAATCAGAACTCCGGCGTGATTCAATATTGGTTGGACAAATCGCAAATTTTGCAAGTTTACTGTTAAAGCGAATTCACAATAGTATTATTTTGATTTCTATTGCCTGAGATGTGGTAATCTATAACCTGCTCCTTCTCATGTATCCGTTTGTAATTTTAGCAGTAATGTTTGAGATGAATAAAGTTTGGATTATCATTTTTAAGACATTCCTCCGCTAGGGCCGATACTAGAACCACATGTTATGGAACCGCTTCGCCAATTGTAACGCGCCTGCTCGACCAGGGGCGGTGTATTATCTTCGGTTTTTACTTCGCTCAACCTTCATACCTCGTGCTTCGACTGACCTTCCTCGAAGTTCGCCCTTGTTATCCGGATTCCCCAGGGAGGGACGGATAAATCCTTGCGGAAATAATCCGGGGAAACCGGGGATCGAACCCTCGACCTTTGAGTTGAGAAACCGATGCTCTACCACTGATCTATTTTCCCTTCCCCAGTAATGTTTGAGAGATATTCCACTAATATCAAATACCCTGTATCAAATAATATGGATTGCAGAAAACCATGTATTACTTTAAAAAACACCTCGCATTATTTATCAAATTGTCTCGTCACATTTATTCACACATGACAAATCATCTAAAGCACTACTCCTATTAATAGTAGTACAGTACTACGTACTTCGAATTAGTACGTTGCCGATGGTAAACTCACGAATGATGCAGTAGACTGAAGCACGCTGACGTTGGTGTGCCCAATAAAGCCAGGGGTCGCGTTACCAGCTCGAAATTGGTGACGCGACCCAAGAGGACGTCGACCACGCTATGCTCTTATTGAAGCCAATACAACGTCCCTAGAGGTGACAGGGCTTCGGTAACCCCTCTATAGTTATGTTTACAAGGATACATTTGACTCTATGTCATTATTAACAATCGACAAAGATAGAACAAAGTAGACTCCATTATGTAGCCAT